AGATTCCCTTTGTTTTGCTTGTCCCGTGTTGCTTCTGTGGGGCTCGTGATCACTGTTTATTGACACTGGGCTTGTAGACATCAGGGTGTAGCAAGTGTAGCCACCGTTTGGCTCATGGGCAACTCCTCTTCCCTGGACAGACAGGAAGAAAGTACTTTGAACACTGCTGTTCCTTTTACATAATGTCTTCTATATGACATCATTTTAATGGTCAAACTTTTATCCTACATTCCTAGATCTTTAACAAAGTTAATCCAGCAATATCTACTATTCCTGTCTTTCTCCAAGGGACACTGGAAGGATAATTAAGGGACAGATAGGTGAAGCCATCAGGCTCAAAGGTATTACTGTTATTTAGTTCCATACTGTTACCATATGATCAAGAACACATGAATTTTGGAAATGATGATGATAAGATCATGTTTGGACATCTATTCCTACTTAACCAGAACAATTTACTTTTGCCTGTGCCCTACAAAATACCTCAATTTGTAGATTAAAACAAATCAATGGGGCCCTGGCCGGTTTGGCTTAGCAGTTAGAGCATTGGCCCGCGGACCAAAGAGTTGCAGGTTCAATTCCGATCAGGGGCACATACCTTGGTTGTGGTTCAGTCCCCGGCCCGTGCAGGAGGCAACTGGTCGATGTGTCTTTCTCTACTACTCCAGCTGAAGATAAATGGAGGAATATCCTCAGGTGAGGATTAAAAAAAACAAAAAAAACCAGCAACAAAAAAACCAAATCAATGGAAAATGATCAGAAATTTTTAATACATTTTTTTATTGGCTATTTTTTTAAATTCTAAAAATAAATGTTTTTTAAAAGGAATTGATTAAAAAGCTTCATTTTCTGGAATGTTATAGATCTGCAATAAATAATATTGTAGCAGTTGGCTGCCTTCACTTTCATGCAAAATAAATGAATACATTTGGTGACATACATTCCAGGAGTGTGGTTCTTGTAATTTTCACAGGAATCAGAAACAACTTTACAGATGATAGAATTTTTACCATCTGCTAGTAACAAAGAAACATAGCTCATAACACAAGGCTCGTACTGAGTCTAGCACATATGTTGGCATGGCCGGGTTCAGAATTCTCTATAGCTTCCACCTCCAGAGAAGCTGCCCTGACTGTCAGCCTGTCATAAGACAGGTTTGCTAAGTCAGAGAAAGACAAATACCATATGATCTCACCTCTACGTGGAATCTAATGAACGAAATAAACGGACGAACAACAGAAAAATAAAGCAGATGGTGTGGTCCTCACATTGCTTGAATGTCAGAGGAGGGAAGAGGGCTGAGTTTTAATAGCAACAGATCAAGAGAAAGGGGTTCTCCAGGACTGGGAATGCTGGCACAGATTTTACCTGTAATTGGGGGCATGGTGGGCTTGCTGGCGAGAAGATACTGTCTTTATGAATCAAAACATTTTGTCTTGGTAGAAGAGATCAAAGTTTGATGCTTAGAGAGCGATGGGCGATGGCAAGTCCAGACTTTCTCTTACAGTGATATTTGCTTTAAGCAGGTGGCATTTTAGCTTCCTAGGCCTGATATGACACCTGGGGGTTGCGGTTCTAATTAAAGATAAGGCATGAGTGGGTTGGGAAGAGCTGAATGCTTGGTGGAGACTACAGGGCTGCTACTAAGGAGAGGAAGATGTTGAAGAAGTGCTGCCCCTCTTCTTAGGTTTCCTTTGCTGTCATCTGGAGAAGAGGATGACTGACATTTTTCATCATTTTTGTTTTCATTGGATGGTGTGGGGGATACTGCATGACACAGCATTATGGGGGTCCCATGTAAGATGGGACCCCCCATAGTCCTGGCTGATGGCTCAGTTGGTTGGAGCAGTGTCCCATGCACCAAAAAAGGTTGCAGGTTCAATTCCTGGTCAGGGTACATACATAGGTTGTGGGTTCGATCCCTGGTTGGGGTGCATACAGGAAGGCTGCCAATTGATGCTTCTCTCTCTCTTTTCCTCCCCTGGTACCCCCCCCCCCCACATCTGCCTAAGAATCAGTAAAAACATGTACTCAGGTGAAGATTAAAAAAATAAAAGGATGGCCAGTGCATTTCTGTTGATATATTATGTGTAGATGGTCCTGAGCATCTCCAGTCCTTTGTAGCATTAGAAGCCATAGGCTGGGTATGCAGGCAGGACCTTGTTAGCAGTGGTCTGCATCTTGGGGTGCTTTTGGTTACCTTCAAGCTTAAAGGGGTTGGGGAATGAGGCAAAATTAAGGAGGAGCAGCTTTCTCCTCACCTCTGACTTCTCCATGTTCAGAAGTAGTCCTTACTTCTGACCCTGGAAATGCAATGAGTCTGATATCTGCCTCATTGATTTTGGCTTCTATGCTGATGCCTCCGTCTTGAGCATATAAACCAGGTTGCAAAATAGGTGGGGTGATTAGATTTGTTTTCCTTGCTACACTCCACACCATCCCTCCCTTTTTTGGGGCACACTTCCTGTTTGGACCCCCTCTGCATTCTTAATGTCCTGTGCCCTTTCCCCTTGGCCCTTGGGGGCAAAAAGCAGACCTGCACAATGAGATACAAGGGCTGATCAGGTTTAAATGTTTTCCCTTTTTGTGGTGTCTACATTTCTTACAGGGGTGAAGACATCTTAAACCAGAGGAATGACTCTCTAGTTGTGGAATTTCAGTCATCAGCCAGCCGATGCAGGAGGTATTATTTTGGGCATGGGGGCCTTTCTCGGAAGCCCGAAATCATCCTAAATGACCACCTGCCTGCTCCATGTTATATAAGGCCACGTTGTGCACCACACCAGTCTCATGTGTTGGGTTGGCTTGATCGGGCTGAGGGCAGCAAGCATGTTTGTGGGGGTCTCCGTGCATGGAGGTCGGCACAGTGGGGGCTTCCCAGGTGTCTGTACGGACGGGAAGAAGGTGATGCATGCAATGTAAGCTTTCTTTTTATCACTGTAAATGCTGCCACTGGTCCAAAAATTCATAGTGAATCTGATATTCTCCTCTTGGTGAAAGCCCACTTCATGCCTGTCCACAGCATGAGTCACATGTCCTTAGAGAAGTCTTCATTTGAAATCCATGGAATGTTCACGAGAGCTGGGATTTCACATTGTGACTGTCCACCAGCAGCACAGGACAGCCATTTTCTTGTCTTTGCACTAGAAGCCTGGTTCTGTCAATAAGAGTGCCATTTCCATCTCGTGACTCCCTTATGCCATTCACTGTCACCATAGCCACCCCAGAGAGTCACGAGATGTAGGAGCTGTGGGCCTTCAGTTGGTTAGGCTGTGGCTGCAGTCTCTCTTCATATGAAGGTCATTGGTTGGACTTCCAAATCTAATAACTTTGGGTCGTATATTAAGGATGAATTAAAATGTGAATGGGCTGTGTGTTCTGTTTGTTTGTTTGTTTTTAACATCCCCTATGCTTAAATTTAAGCACTGTGCTCTAGGTGCTTTTACAGCCTTGCCCGGAGCATTTTTAGCATCGCCAAGGAGACAGCGAATTTAAGGTATATCCTGGCCACATGGGCAGGATAAGCAATATTTACTTTATGATTATGTTATGTGTGCCCCCTACAGCTACATAACACAAATATTCTCTCTTTTACTCAAGATAACAGTTTAGCTAAAACAAAACAAAACAAAAATTGTACTATTTTCATAAGTTTCTTTGAACCCACCGGTCCTTTCATTATTAACAATGATTCACAGTATTTGAGAGCTGGCTATTGGACTGTGGCATCAAAAGCCATGGTGAACCCTTTTTATAGACTGCCTTCATGTCCAAACTTATGCTACCACCATGAAACAGCCCGTTTTATAATGGAGATGCTGGCGTGCAGAGACTCTGTGTGTGTGTGTGTGTGTGTGTGTGTGTGTGAGAGAGAGAGAGAGAGAGAGAGAGATCATGTCACTGGTTGGGGAGAACCACAGTCAGTAGGTCGTTTCCTGCTCCCAGCTGGGGCATCTGGCCACACTGGACCAAGTGGGAGCTCTAAGGAAAGTGATGTTTCTGCTAGGAAATGAAGGCAGGGCTCATTTCGAGAGTCGTATAGGTTCTTGACAACTGGTAGTGTTAGTTCTGTGTCTACATTAGGCCAGATTTCTTTATCTAGTGAGCTGGAAAAAAAAAAAAAAAGTGTGTTTTTTTCTTCTTTCCCTAAACAGGTCACTTCCTTATTTTTAGTTGACTTGGGCCCTTTATTTTTTCCTTAATAGGGGGAAGGAACACTGTTTCTTCCTGAGTCCTCCCAGTTATCTGGTGTCTGGTCACTTTATGATTGCATTTTAGGAGAAGAGATATTAATTTTCTTCAACAAAAGGCTGAGTTCCTTGATGACACGCCATAATTCAGTTTCTGTTCTCTCCCTTCGCTGCCCGTATCCCTTCCTCCTGGCATTTTCTCATAGTTAGGAGGAGTTATAGTGTCAAATATATCAAAAGGAAGAATTGATTCAGCCCTAGTTTGACGACTTGACTGATTAACAGAGATCAGAAGAAGGCTCGTAACTGTGAGAGCCACTGCAGCATGGAGTTTTAACAGCTCTTTAGGGAGTTGGTTAATGAAAGAATCCCTACAGAAACACAGCCATGCAAAAAGAAAAAGAAAGGAAAGTACAGGAGCATTCCTACATAACTCTCAGAGACTTTGTCATAGGAGGAAATATGCTCATGATTTCTGTTTACACATTGCAATAATTACTGTCTGCTTGAAGATTACTTTCAGTCTTCTCCTGTCAAAGTTGCTCAGACATTTCCTCTTTCACATGGCAGGCAGAGAGGTCTAGTACTGGCTGGAACTTGTCCTTAGGTCTTTTTTCCTTCTGAAGAATGTAATTATCAGACACCTGAGCCCGTACTGCTTGATTAGACTAGCTTGAACCTGATCCGTGTTCTTATTATCATTACCATTTGTCCGTGAACCAGACTTCTGCACTTGGGTGAATGTCAGATTGGACTTTAGCCTTTAATTTTTGTGTGTGTGGTTATTCTCTTTTCTTTTTCCTGGTGCAGTGTCTATGAGCCAGATAGAAATGTGTTACGGAGGAAAGAACGAGAAAGGAGAAATCAAGAGACTCAACAGGATGATGGCACGTTTAATTCCAGTTATTCCCTCTTCAGTGAACCCTACAAGGTAGATGGTTTTTCATTGTTCATCTCCACCCCTCTCTCACTGGTACCTGTCACCCCCAGGATGGCACTCTTGACCAGAAGAGTTGACCAGTCAAACTTCACTTAGTTTTTCTGCCCGTTCAACCTAGGGAAGGCAATCCAGCCACTAAGAATGGGGGCTTCCCCACCAAATCTCGGTGTCAATATTAAGATCTACTTGCTATAATTTTTATCAACAATATAGACTTCATCTCTGCATTGATTTTCAAAGTCAGTGCCACTTGTTATATTTTCTAAGGTGTTAGGAAACAAACACTATTAAAAGAGCTTGGGTTACATATCTGCCACACACGGATCATGCGGGTGTCAGGGTTACCTGATAGGGCTAATAAGAAAGAAACTGTGGGATTGGTTTTCGTTCATACAGAAGGTCAGAAATATAACCACTCTTCCAAAATGGAATGTCACCCAGGATCTCAAGCCACGTGGAGCTGTGTGTAGTTCAGGCTTGTAGCTTCTCGCGTATTTAGCCCACGTTCGTTCAGACTTCACTCTAACTTCTCTCACCTATCACTTTGGGATTTCTGACAAGGACAGTTACATATTTAGAAATTGGAAAGAGAACAATTTCAGCCAAATTTGAATTTTCAAGTAAAGTTTCCAATGGGACTACAAAAAAGAAAAAGTCCACTCCTAGAGAGCCTCATTCTGGATCAGTTTGTGAAGTTGCGGTAGCACAGTTATTGTGATGTCCTCAGCTGCCACACAGTCCCAAGGACAGGTGCCTTTTTTGTGTAGCCAAGGCCTTACCAGGTTCGGGTCGGGTGTGCTGCCGAGTGCTGACGGACATCTTCAGAGATGACAATTTTTATTTCATCTCGTGGTTCAAATTCTGTGTGTGGCAGCCTGGGCTCTGTGGTCGATAAAGGCACCTCGCCATTATTTGCCATGTTTCCACTGTCTCTAACAACCGGGTGTGTTTTTCTTTCTCCAGACTAACAAGGGGGATGAGCTCTCCAACCGGATCCAGAATACTTTAGGCAATTATGATGAAATGAAAGACTTTTTAACTGATAGATCTAATCAGAGTCATCTCGTTGGCGTTCCCAAACCTGGGGTTTCTCAGGCTCCTGTGAACAAGATCGATGAACATTTTGTTGCAGATTCAAGAGCCCAGCCCCAGCCCTCATCTGTCTGCAGCACTGCATCTTCCGCACCAGCAACTGTCCCTGTGCAGCAGAGTAAGAGGGGCACCATGGGCTGGCAGAAGGCTGGGCACCCGCCTCCTGATGGCCCACAGAGAGCAAGTAAGCGCGGACACAGGTTGATTGACTTGAACAGATCTGCTCCTCCAAAGAACTCTAATCAGAAACCTAACCACTGTGTGTCGAGCCCCTCATCCTCACCTCCCTCTCCTTCTTCTTCTTCCTCTTCTTCTTCTTCCAACTCAGCACAACAGGGCTCTCTCAGGACCTTGCTTGGAGATGGTGTTGGCAGACAGCAGCCACGAGCCAAACAAGTGTGCAATGTAGAGGTGGGTCTTCAGACCCAGGAAAGACCACCTGCTATGGCAACCAAGCACAGCAGCAGTGGACACTGTGTTCAAAACTTTCCTCCATCCCTGGCTTCCAAACCCAGCCTGGTCCAGCAGAAACCAACTGCATATGTGCGGCCGATGGATGGCCAAGATCAGGCTCCCGATGAGTCTCCGAAGCTTAAGTCATCCACGGAAACCAGTGTGCACTGCACGTCCTACAGGGGAGTCCCGGCCACCAAGCCAGAGTCCACCAGAGCCAAGGCCAAGCTTTCCAAGTTCAGCATCCCCAAACAAGCAGAGGTGAGTGTTTTCTCAGTACTCCTTACACACATCTGAGTAGTTCTGCATGACCACCTGGCAGCTGTGAATTTAATGCCTAGGTTTCATTTCAGTGTGTGACTGCCTTCACGTGGTAGGATTTGTAGCAGTCAGTAAGAAAGGATGTACACATAAATAATGCTTTCTTACAATTTCAAATTGACTACAGTCAGAATTTTTTAAGTTCCAACAAATGTAGTTGTATGCGTGTCTCTCTTAGTTCAGGAAGGAATGTCTCCTTTAATGTAGTTCAAGGGATAGTTTGTAAACAAGCCAGTGTTATGGAAATATTAGATACTAAAAATAAAAGTACTTCAAAAACTATAATTTTTAGTTTGTAAGAGGTTAATTTTTATGTAAAAGAGTTCTGAAATTTAACATCTTGGTCAGTTTTGAAATGTTCCAGGACAAACTTTACAGAGTAAACCTTAGAATTATTTTGAAAGTAATTGTTAAATGATTCTGTGCTGATTATGGTGAATATTCAGTTGTATCAGATGTACCATTCATATTATTATACTTAAAATTCAGGTTCATTGGTGTAATAAAGTAAGGACTTTCTGTATCATGTAAAAATTATCTTAGATTATATGAAGAGAGTGAAATATTTTAGTTCAGATTCTCCTGGTTTGCATTTGACTTTATTCAAATGTGGGAGATTGGATGTATGGAATATTAGAATTTAAAACAAGCAAATCAGTCACAGAGGTAGCAAAGAGGCAATGACTAGTAACTTGAACAGAAATCTGGATGGAAATGAAGTTTTGTTTCAGACAAGCATATCTCCTACTATATGCCTACTTGTTGACAGTTGTCAAGAGCACATGAGTAAGAAATATGACTGCACATGTTTTTGTTTTGCTGTGATGTGGTATACTAACTGCAATAAGTGTGTGTTCTAGAACGCTGTACTTAGGAACTGTTCAAGTTTTTTCTTTTTTCCTTTTTGACATTCTCTTTTAAAGATGGAGTAACATTGTGGCCAGAACAGTCTTTGTGTTTTAATTTGATGTAAGAACCAAATGAAGAAATGATTTAATGTTATCTTCTTGAGTGACTGACAATGCTGAGCTTAACCATTTCTGAGCTATCATTTCAGAAAGCACTATGTACCAATTTGAAGGTCAATATATTACCCTTAGAGAAGACATATATATGTATATATGTGTGTGTGTGTGTGTGTATGTATTTTTTTACTTTGAGATGTTTACACGGGTTCTAATGAGGAAATTAGATGACATGTATACCAGTAACCAGTAACATCTTTTGATAATTCATTTATGATGGATCCCAGAAAGTGTTCATTAGGAATTAATAGAAGCAAAAATGTAACGTTTACAAATGTTTATGTTTTTAAAAGTTTGTAGGAAACACACATAGATACCACCTTACAAAATTGAATTAATCAAGTTCTTTGTTTTTTGTTATTAATTATCAAATGGCCTGTAATGGGGAAAAAAAAAATCATTGTTTATCCTTCGACAGAGGTGACTGCAACCACTAGGAATTCCTGTATAATTTTAATCCCGATTGATTCTTTGTGAAAATGATTTTTATGTACCAAAGAAACTTCAGATTTACTCCATAATAATTTATTTATTTTGGAACCCAGTGCGTTGACGAAGCTCTGGTTACAGGCCAGTTTTTGATTGCCAGTTCAGCCTTATGCAAACAATTACATAGTTTGCATTAGGTTTTTGGATATGTCATTAATAACGTGGACACTTTCAGGATGCCCTTGCAGGACCCCAGATTGGGAATGACACACTGGACTGGTGTTCGGTGAGCAGAGCAAGAGGGAGAATGCCTGAGGTAGAGGGTCAGACCGACAGAACTTAGAGCTTTCACATAGGAAGTGTTTCACTTCTCTATGTAATGACATTGAACCAGTCAGCTTGCTTCTTCCTAACATTCCATGCTGGACACTTCAAAGAAGCAATCATGCATTGATAGAGAAGCAGTAAGAGGAAGTGTGGTTCATAGGACAAAGTTAAATTGGTGGATTTTTTTTTCCCGGGGGGGATATACAGTCTTTATTTTAGCAGAAAGCTTTGCATATTATGGAAAATATGGTAATTTGACTCTTGTAACACTGCTGTGCTTAATCCGTCCACTGTCATAACAAAAAAATGGCTCTTTCCATTTAGTAGCAGGGTGGTATCTGTAAGTTACATTTCCCAACCTTCAGACTCAAAAAGGGGTGTTTTGTTTGTTTTTACATTTCTACAAGAAATTAAGAAATACCCTTTGGCAGGTACATCATTCAGTATTTATAGAGCAATTCCATAAAATACACAGTCTTAACATATAAACTGAAGACTTTTATCAACCAGTCAGATTTTACTTTTGAGGGAATATTTGCTTTTATTTTTTGGAGAGAATAAAACAATTAAAAAAATAAAATATCCTCTAAATAGTTGACTGATCTTCAGTGAAACAGAGAATGTGTTTTTTAGGGACATTGACAGAGGAAATAACCCGAAGGGAACTTGTATTTCTTGTGTGCTTTTTCAGGATGTTAGCTGTTGAGCAAGTGTGAAGAATTTGGGGGCTAAAAGAAAGTGTTAGGTAAAAGTGACAAAGACAGGCAAGGTGCAGGTATATCTGTATAGCATTGTGTAGGTACATTCCTCGTGAGAAAAATCAAGTCAGTGACTAGGTATAATGTGATGTGAGAAATATTTTTAAAAATCTAAGATGTGATCTCTGCCTCCAAGAAATTTACATGAATTGAATAAATTAGATGCTAGCACTTAGCTTTTACTTTGCAATTTCTGTCACTTAAAGTCCAAACTAAATTTAAAATCGTCTTTTTGGCCCTAGGAAAATTCTCTCACCTTCATAATCCATGTAGTAGAAAAATATTCTGTATTATTTTTTAAAATCAAGAATTTGCAACTCTCTTTTGCCTGATTTTACACTTATAAATTTTTTATTCTTTCCTTACAACATCTGCATTCTATCTACTGCTGTGGTGAGTTATTTCTTATAATTCTTTAGTCTTCAATAATAGATAATTAGTGTAGAAAAATTTAGTGCAATTTGATGTGGAAGTTAAAGACCTCAAGGGAATTTCTTAACTGATACACCTGCCTCCTGGCTGGTTTTTCCCAGCTCAGTTTTGTGTTTAATGAAAAACACATTTTTGTTGTTATGGCTTAGTTTTTTACTCTCCACAACCACTCATTAAGTGAGCCTTCCCTGGAGTGTCACTTGGAAGTGTGACTACTGTTAAGTGAGAGTCAGAGAGGGCATAACGAAAGACTGAAACATGCCTTCTAGAATGTTCTAGGGTAGGGCACACTAAATCTTACTTCCAGTGAAAGTGAATTACTTTTTGTTTCACACAAACAGAAAATTAATGTTTTGCCCTGAACATGTAATTCAAGATTCAGATAATGGGGACTGTTTACCTGGAGGACCAGACACAGGTTTTGTGGTACCTAAAACTTACACTGTCTTGGGGGTCCTCTTTAGGAAAAATAAAAAAATAGAAAAATATCTTACACTTGAAAATTTTGCAAAAACATATATTAGCACATTGCTAGGGCCCCTCCTAGGCCTTGGAGGAGCCTCTGCTCAAGAGGCCCTGAAGCTTATGTGTCATTGATCAGCCTCTCGGTGTCTCTGTCTTTGCTCATGGAATAATAATAAGTTACAGTGATAATTTTAGATTTGAGAAGAGTGCTTTACATTAGCCTCAGACTTCAAAGAATTTAAAAATAATATCTAGTGCTAGGTGATAGAAGCGAGGCAAAAAGGAGACAGTGCCATGAGAAGTCTGAGTGCAGTGCTGTTGAGACAATGTGGGTCTCAGAGGCTATGAGATTACAGTTTCAGCAGTGGTATTCCAAAACATGCACCGTTTAGTCTCTGTTAGCTATTAATGTAACAAATAGCAGTGATTTGAAACTGCTCTTGCAGAAGACTCCGATGGCTGAAAATAGAATGCATCTGAAAAGCCCAGGCAGGAAGGAGACCAGGGACTGCTGCCCTCAGCCTAGTCAGTGATAAGAAGGAAACACCGAAATTTGAATGTCAATGAATCGACTGTGTATTAGGAGTTGTAGTCTTCGTGGAGAATTCATCCACAAGAACAGAGTAACCATTTTTGGTTGATCAGAATTTTATTTGTTAAGTAATTAAATACTAAGATGTATTGATTAGTCATCACGTTTTCACAATGGGCATTTTAAAATCACCATTTATACCGTGAATAAGAGCAGAAAACTCACGTACCAAGATTACACAAAATAGCTTCCTAGAAAAGCAATTAACTGATTTTTTTTAAGTTCACAGAAGATAAATGGTGTAGGCTTCCTATTTCCTGTCACTCTTGGTCACCTTTGTGTGAAAATGGATTCCTTCCACATTAAAGTCGGCACCAGCCTGTCAGACGAAAAAGGCATCTGCAGAGCAATGTGTACATTACATATTCATGTCAGCCTGAAGTTCTTAATTACATTTAAGCTGTCTGAAGTTTTCAAATCCAGTGGTGCGACTGGGTTGCTCACTGATAAAACAAGGGTGAGTGGCCAGCCTGGAGACTCGGTTTCCTTGTCTGTGGTGGACCCCTCCTCCCTATCACCCTCATCTCTGTTCTCCTCCACCCACTGCAGACAGAAGCCACATCCTGCAGGGCAGTGTGGCTTAGTGTCAGCACAGATGGTTACACTTTGCACTTCCTCCTGTCCTCATAACGCCCGTCCTTCGTTCTTTTCTCGGGGACGTGGACAACTTGTACTGTACAGGCTGAGAGGAGGGAAGACGCAAACTTTGATCTCAGGTGCTGGATGAAAGCCCTCGTTTTCTGTATTGTGGAAGGGTCACTTGGAAGGTCGTCATGAAGGCTGGCAAGTGGAAATATCTCCATATTTTTTGGTACTTTTATGTTCAGCCAGCGGGCTCTAAAAGATAAAGCACTTAATCACTTAAAAATTTGAAGAACGAATATTTAAATGTTTCCTGTTGTGTGAAGGCAC